GGAAAGAGCCTCTAAGAGAATGCTTATAGGTAAAATGATATTGATTAATAGAAGTATTATGGTTAAGATGAAAAATTAGAAACAAGTGCTATGAAATAATAAAATAATAGTTATAGCCCTCTCCATGGTTGGTTTAAACCCAATCCAGCTGAATCAACAAGAATAATAGAATTTAGAAGCATAAGTTAAATGTCATTATGTAAGTTTTTCTTAAAAGTGCAAAGGTGAGCAGACAGGAAGATTATTCAAGAAGATAAGTGAATACAGTGACCAGAATGGGACCAACAGGCTGCAACTTCTGAAAAGGAACTGAGATGAAACAAGAAGAATCAGCTGCGTTCGAAGAATCACTATGGACTTTTTATAGGATTTTAAATTAATGAGAAATTTGGAACTGAGGGTTTGTGGGAAAACACCAAGAACTCTGAGAAGAATACTTATTGTATAATGTTAAATTTAGCACACATAGAGAGCTTGATTTTTGTTATGCCTTTGCCACTCACTGAGGTGATGGCCCAACTCTTGAGTTGTAAATAAAGCAAACCTAGAGTTACCCAGTGACTGTGTTAAATTCCTTTAACACCTAGAATACCTGGCTCATAACCATTTTTCCAGTTTAGACAAATACTTCCTAATCAGTACCAAATCTAAAGCTTCATTAAATGTTTATATGCATTAATATTTTATTGCCTGAAAAGCTATTCCTCTCATAAAAACCACAACATAAATATTAAATCCTATTTAGTAAATCCTACTTCGTTATCCTTTCACCACATTCATTTGCTTTTTCTATACCCTTAACTATTCCCTCCATAATGGATTTTAAAGTCTTGTCTACTATTGAGATCAGCTAAGTCAGCCAGTGAATCCTTTAGTTTTATATTAAAATATACATAAATGATAGTGTATTTGCTATTGCTTAGTAATGAAGTATCTCAGAGTCCTACAACCTTTAATACAAAAATAACATCTTGCTTTTTGACATGTAATCATGTAACTCATGAAAGTAGGAAACCTAAAGAAATACAAGGCAGGCTTGTAAGTTCTCCAGAAGGAACACGAGTGCCCTCCACTGGTACTGGACATGGGAGTTTGTTTCTCTTTTGTAGTAATAATTAAATTCTGGTCTGTCTGTCATCACAAGCTGAATTCTGCCCCCCGCTGAAATCGATTATGAAATAGCTTAAGAAGACGACAGTAACATTAAAGACTAGACCTGCTGCAGTTAGGTGCTTCATTTAAAACAAAAGGAGCTGCTTACAGACCTAGATACTTCTGTGAATTAATATTCACATATTAGATAAAAATAGATAGATTTTTATCTATCACAGATAGATAGATATCACAGATTTTTTATCTATCACAGATAGATAAAAAAAAAGCTCCATTTAACCACTCATTGGAAGTTTTGCAATTTACATAAGGAAAAAAAAATAATCAATGCCACAGTTCAAAGAAATGTGGCAAACCTAATGATCAAGGCAAGCCAGGGAACACTAACATGGGGGCAGAATGACCCAACACCATTTGCCTTTGTTCTGAAGTTTGGTGAAGCACCACAATCACTCAGCAGGGTCACCTTGACTTGACATGCCTGGTCTCCACTGCCCTCAGTAACACAACAAAAAACAAATCATGGGGACCGATTGTTGTTAGTTGCAACGCTCATGATCTCACTGAAGGTTCAACAAGTTTTCAGCACTGCATATGCCAAACTACTGCTGCTGAGGTGGGCAAAGGTAGAAAGGAGCCATGTAGATTTGACTGCTCAATGTAAAATATACCCTTGTTCTGCTGGAGACAATCCATGCTGTCACTGCACAGTGCCAGGCCATTTCTGCAATATTCTGGTTTTTGTTTGGTTGGGTTGTGTGGTTTTTTGTTTGTTTGTTTTTTATTAAATGAATATAAGCAAGTCTTGATGAAAATTCAGATCAAATGAAATAAACATTTAATAGTGAGATGTATCTTTGCTGCTATAACAACTTGGAAGCAAAGAACTGATAGCATTAAAAATGCTTCTGAAATAATCCCTTGGTCTTTAATTTATTTTTTTAAAGCATTCTGGACTCAGTTTCTTCACTGTCTCTCTCTTCCCTACAATACTATGTATTACATAACTGAATTATCTTCTGTAGATTCAAATTTGACTTATCATGACTTAACAGGATAAAAGGAAAATAAAAATATTTACCCAGTCCTTTGACAAACTTCATAAGGCACATAATATAACTGGTGGCGGCATTGGCAAAGACCTGGATGCTGTCAGTGTTTAGAAATGCTTCAAAGACATCAAACACAGGAGCCTGGCGTTTCCCTGTGGAAACATCAAGATGAGAACTCTTCCCCATCTCCCATAAAGGTGATTTTCCAACAGTTTTCCAACAATTTAACTGAACTTGTAGAATCTCTTCTATTCTGGGCAGAGACAGAAATGATCTTAGAAGTAAAACCTTCTCTTGCTCCTGAAGCAACTTGTCTAGCCCTTCACAGGAAGCAATATAGACTCCCCCCTTTGCCTTATCTATGAAAAATATTAGCTTATGCCTGCCCAAATGGTAAGAGCAGGTTAGAGCTCTTGAACTCGGCTCAGTAGCTAACACTTCTGGCTGGTGAAGGTTTCTAGTTTAGTTCTTGATAACTGCCAAGATGATAGCAGTCACACGGAAAACTATTCAGACTGTACAGTAACGAAACAGCCTTGCTTTTCCCAAGTAGATTATCAGTCTTCAAAAGCTGTATACACTTGCATTTTGCCATTGATCACGACAGACCTGAAAGATGAAATTTAGGAGGAAAACCATATCCCTGACACATGACCTGTAACATTTTAAAATACTTTCTAATGGGGCAAAAGAACAGATTAAAGTGATTTTCCTAATTACCCAGTTTCCATACAAGCAAACATCTCTGGGAGGGATAAAGAATCATTCTTACAGCAAATATGGTTTGTTATAAAAGTGCTAGCATTTTGAAGCCTTGTGATTAAATGCCTGGACAAGCACTTGCCTAGATAATCCCAATAATTTACCCTGAGGTATATGAGCAATAGGTTTCACATAGTAAGAAAGACCATCCACATGAGCTGTGGTGGTTGGATACAGTATGCTTTCCTTTCTCTAGCATGACAGTGACAAGGGCCCTGCCAAGCTCAATACTCCTGCACTACTGTTCTGCTCAAAAATATTCAAGTAAGTTTGAAACATTGCTTTCTCATTCTAATCATCTGCCAGAATCTAGAAGATAAAAAGTCTGAACAATACCTCTGCTTTCCCTCCCACCCCAACTAATAAACCAGATACTTCAGTGCAGTCCTGGAGTATTGCAGTGCCACTGCTAAGTGCCACTGTTCAGGCAAAGTATTTACATAGTTAGTTTAAATGAGTTAGTTATTGTGTCCCTAAGGAACGAAACCGGGAAACAAAAGCATATATGAAACAGTCAGTGCAGTAAGTCCTTACCCATAGAGTATTCTCCTACAAGGTACTCTTTAACCTCCGACTTGCTGCTGCTGTGCACTGTTTCCAGGGCACTGAACAAGGGTCTCCATCCTGACTGGATCTGGGTAGAACACATTTCCACCAACTCTCCTATAGAGGTGACCACCTGCAGACAGTGAATAAAATAAAAAACCAGAACTGATACATACATGGACCTTCAGAAGGAAAGGGGATGGTTTTAAACACCTTCCCAGATTTCACTATGTCAGTCTCTTAAGATAACAGAAAAGTTTTATTTAATTGCTTTAAAGTCAGGGGTACTGTCTTTACGCTCTAGCACAATGCTGTCTTAGGTAGGCAGAGCCCCCCTGATTCATTGAAGATGATTAAAAGTCACCATTTGAGGGAATCTGGGAAACCATCCTTCTTATGGACATGGTAGGCCAGATACAGAGAGCCTGATCAGGTCTGACTTGCCTGGTCTTGGACATCCTCATCACACAGCTCCAGCTGCATGATACGCTCAAAGGGGCGGAAAAGTGCCTCATTAAAGTGAAAATGAGAAGGCTCATTCCAGTCCATCAGCACTTCAGTGAGGATGTCATGGATGAAGGAGACAGCCTTCCGAGACACGTGTCTCTCCTTATGACAGGCAGCCTGCAGGGAAAGGAGGAGTATTAGAGTTTGTCCAAGCAAAAGATGTGCTTTTAGTTAGACACTTGTAAGGGAGGTAAGCACTTCATGCTGCTG